ACATATTATACCATAAACAGTCACTAGAAAAAGCTATTGTGGAACTGCTGGTTTCAAGGCAGTTGGGTCAGAAGACTACTGAAACCTACAACCCACTTTTTCCTGAGTAGACTTACTAAGAGCAGCAGCACTGTCCAGAGGACTGTATTCAGGCTAAACTCCCCATCCTAAACAACAGTCAAGAACCCAGTGGAAAAAATGGACTTACGCGCATGCTTGATCATACCCATCATGTATAAGAAAATGCCTCTAAAAGAACAGCACGTGCATCCAGGCATGTATGTTTAAAACTGCTTAAATTCAAGTATATGTGGATGAGGCTGAATGTAAGCAGTTGTTGGCAGACTTGAGCCATAGAATGAAGCTGCTGCAAATATAAGGTTAGCTTAAATGTATCTTCAAAATTACAAAATATTAATTAAATAGGCGGCCTGTGTTTGTGTGTGTAAGCAATGTGTTTTAAAACTATTTAAAGCAAGTGCACTAGTGTTTTAAAATAATGGAAGGAACTTGCTTTAAAAAAAAATTAATAGTTGTATTATACTTGTTTGACTATATAATAGCCCTACCATGTTTATTCCCAGTAGAACAAAACCAGGTGTAGTAAAACATGGTCTTTGTAATACAAAGCAAGCTAAAATCCATCTACTAGTCTAATTTTGGCATGAGAACTAACGATGCATTTCATATTTTCACGATTCTCCATCATATGAAGAAATTTAGGGTTATATAAATACACACATAATACATATGTTTTTAATATTAAAAATGTTGCATGCCCCCTTACTGGATTTCAAAAAGCAGTCAATGGCCTAGTTGAAGCTTATGGAACATTCTGCTATCTTATAATAATAAAAAATGACTTCGCTATAGTTATATTTTACAGTACAATCATAAACTTGTTCTCAATTGGAATTGCTCCCTAGTATGTGCGCTTAGGATTACATACTTTCTCGGAAGTAAATATTAATTCCCACTCACTGAATTCAGCGGGACTGACTTCCAAACAGACATGCAGAGGATCAGACTGTGAAATATCCACAACTATAAGTTAACATTTCTCTTTTCCATGAGGTTTGCTTTCAATTCTTTTAAGCTTAAACTTTTGTGTTTTTAGGAGCAACATCATGCATACCCTTCCAATATGTGCTGGATAAAAACAGGTACGCTTGTCTTATGGCTGATGAAAAAAATGTAGTGATGTACTATAACACCAGTATAAGCTGTCTACTTCCATGAGGTATGGAGACTGCTCTATTTCCCTTGAGAATTCTGGAAACCGTAACATAAAGAATGTATAATTTACTACCACCTGGAAAACAGCTATTTAAACATTAAGATACCACAAATTTGTACTTTCAAACTGTCTCACACAAACCAATCTCTTCAAGGCTACAGTTCTCCAAATCTCAAAATTCGGTATATATTAATATATATTAATAAAGCTACTGTATCCCTTAAAAAAAGAGAAAACAAATTTGTATTCAATCAGTCATGAAAACCTATGTGAAGTAGACACAAATTTGTTACAAACCAGTGACTGGTAAACTGTAAGAAAGCAGGTTTAGTATGCAAAGATACATACAGACTTGTCCCAAAACACAATAAGAAACTTTTACCAATTTTGCTGAAGCTACTGTCAAGTCCAAACTGATCCCCACCCCCCGCCAAAAAATGCATTCCACTGAGAAACACGGATGACAAGATCCTATAGACAGCACACTGTAAAGAACGGTAGTACCCTGGAATGGTGGGGGACGACGAGCAATATAACAACCTATTGCACAGTATTTGGAATTCATTATTTGCAAACATCTTGAATTACATACTTTTAAGACTTATTAGACATGACAGGAGATAATAGGACAGCGCTGGGAAATTCTAGATCAACTTTATTGGGAGGGGGAAAGGAATCTATCCCCATCCAGTCTTAAAAGTCCTGTTCTACATCCAATCAAATGAAATATGAGTTGCTCTCAGCATACATGTTTTGACTGCATCCCATTATTCTTGAGCTGTTCATCTTAGTAGGGCTTATTTATATAGTTATAAGAAGGAACCCAGACCTTTTGTAAAGTTGTTCCAAAGTGATGAAATCTGACCTTAGACAAGAAAACCGGGGGGGGGGGGAGAGAGGAGGACAGTGGAAGAAGGGAAGCAAAGCACTTTGACAAATAAAAAAAGAAAGGCTTAAGCATAGACAACAGCAAAAAGTTGTTTTTCTTTCCCTAGGTGTTAAATGATAAAGGCTCTGCTGAGTGGCTAGATTGTAAAGGCTGGAGACCCAGCTGAAACCCTCCAGCAGTCTAGGGCTCGTGTCTGTCTTTCAGTTTATCTTGCCTTCAGTGCTATAAACGTGAATTCAGCCTTGTTTCATCACACTGACAGCAACAACTTTCCCCTGTCCCAGATAAAGTACAGCATTTGCTAATGAATCTGGCAGGTAATTTGAGGTAATTAGAGGTTAACACAATTACTGCTGATCAAGTACTGCTGTCCTTGGTCTCAATAGTTAATAATATATCTCAGTCAACTGGGGTGTTCATTAGGCGATGAGTAGGACTAATTCACCAACTGGCAGGCCTTATTCCTCATGGAGAAACAGAGTGAAACAACAGATCTGGTAAATGGTTCCAGTCAGCTTTTTAAGTCTTGTGTTTAGCACTGCGTGGTCATACCTATGCTTCCTAGGACCTCCTGAAAATGCAAACCAAATTCTCTCTAGTCATCTGCAAATTCTGAATGTATTCTCTCCATTTTAATGCCTTATCAGAGAGGTTTTCTTGTGATGTGTGGGACTGCCTAGAACCCAGAGTGATGTGTACCCATACACATTATATGTAGAAAGAGCACCCTTTTTGAGAGTTTGCATCTACACACACATAATATCAATTTCACAGTTTGATCTGTCCTAGTTTACTTTTACCTCTCCCACTTTGAGGTAAAACAATGGAGAAGAGGTGGCTTGCCGCAGAGAGAGCTCACTTTAAGGCTTGAGATGACATTTACCAACTTGTGCCTTGACTCTAAACAGGTTTACTTTGAAGTAAAGGGACCGAGTTCCAATCATGTGTTTATGATATTAGTATTTGGTGGCCTGTGGCCCATGCTATTAAGTACTAGAATAGGTATGTGTAATTGTTGACCATGTAAAGAGATATGAATTAACTTTCCATCTATTTTTCATGTTCCTTGCGTATCTTGTGCAGTGTTCTACACAAAGGGCAAGTGGATTTTTCATTTCCAGATTTGAAGAACAATCAGTTATATAAATATATATCTGCAAACGGTGCAGGATGGTGCAAAAATAAATACCTCTCCAGTGAATTAGGAAAAGAACTTGTTGGCAGTAGTACAGGTGCCATTACCAACTGTGAAAAATGTAAACATTAAAAAGTAACAAGTTCTGTGATGTTAATTCCAAACTGTGTGCATAGGTTGGAGCAAGTGTTAGATGTTTTAAACATATTTCTGTTTAAATCTGACATATGTTTTGTTATTTTTAGAACATTATCAAGATGCAAGCCCTTAGCAATTGCCCCCTTAAATCCATTTGGATTTATTTACTAAATTCACTTTCTTTTTCCCCAGTCAAGCTTTACTATATGTAAAAATAAATTGAGCACAACACTGGCGTTTCCTTTCTGTAAGCGGCTGCACAATCTCAGGATGGATCATTTTTCTCTGCAAACCAGACTGCAACTTTCAGAATGTATATTTCATTTGCTAATGGCCTTTATTGCTTCTTTACTTGAACCATGTGGTCGGCAAGAAAAACCAATAGTGGCCAATTCTGTTTGCTCAATCTTCTATGCCTTTAATATGGAGGCTTTAAGAAGGCAGGGCTTGAAGATATCTGACCCCAATTTGGAAAAGATTTTGCTTGTGTTATTTGTAAATATGTGAAATTCTGCGAAAGGCAGAGCATAAAAACACTGAGTATATCAAGGTAAATAATTTCACTGAAAATAATTGTTTCTAATTGAAACTTTGTGTGTACTTGTGATTTTTTCTTTTCTTTTACCCTGTCATGCCAAGGCAATTAAATCAATGTTATAACCAACCTACCCGATTTAGGCTACAATCCTATGCATGCTTACCTGGGTTACTTCTCGGTAGACATTAATAGGATTGCACTGCTTTTATTGACATCAAATATTAACATAATCCATAGCCCCCTGCTCTAACCAGTTTAGTGTTTGCTTTAAAAGTCAATGGTCCTCAAATCCTCTAACTACATTAATTTTTAAAATCACATTATCGTATTTATTTTACATTTATGTACAACTTAAGCAGAGCCTGGAGAAGAGGGGATGCAAAGATGAATAATACAGCATTATACTGTTTCAAAGCAAAATGTCCTTCATTATTTCATCTGGCTGCATTCCAGAAGTGCTATTTAAAGGAACAAATGTAATTAACATCCCATTCCTATACAGATTGAAATTTCTACTACTGCTGTAAATTACCAAGGAAAAAATGGGAAATGATATTATTTATTTCAGAAAGAGGGGTATAAAATGTGCAATGACAGGAAAAACATGTCTGGATATTGATAGGTAGCTGATAGAGGATATTTGAGAAGTTATTTTTACACCTTTCTTCACTGAGATTGATACAAAAGAGTATTTCACAAGTTTCAACTTGACAACTGGGTGCCCTATTTGACCAGAAAATTAGCTAAAAATTTAAGCAACAAAGAGGAATATATCCACTTCAAATATGTTTGGGTGATATAAAGATCATGACCCATGCTTGACATAAAAAGGATAAGGATAAGTGGACAAACATTAGGGGAGACATATGCTGTTGCTGCTTTAAAAGCAACCACCACCACCTCTGTTCTGCTTTTCGCATCTGTGCTTTTCAATTTATGTACGCGTAAACAGCAAATAGACCACACCGTCCACAACTTTAGGTTGGCTGCTATTCTGTTTTTTCCCCTCCCAAGGATATCATAAAGCTCTTAAAAGTAAGCCCAGTAAATGTTCACTACATACCTGATCACTTATTTGACATGCAACAAGGTTGGGCTGATTATAGCATCCAGCAAATCTGATATACTTCAGCCAGTTTCCTACATCTGGCTGACTGGCATCAATGCAGAATTTCACATTGTAATACTCATCCAAGATCTAGAAAGAAAAGAATACAAAACAATAAATTGATGTTGTGTTTTGTTTTGTTTCTTGTTCCGAGTTGTATTAATTAAAAAGAAATCCCAGCTCTTCAAACAAACAAATAGGTTTCTTCAGTAGACTTCACAAAAATGATTAGCTCAAACAAGCCAAATAATTAAAGGAGCAATCAATCTATTGTAAGAGCATTCCCCTCAACATTTTTGTAGAATCAAAACGCTGTGGAATAATCACTATAAGAACATATTAATTAAGTGCTGCAAGCTTAAGGAACAGTCATGATTTCAATCATTTTTATGAAATGTTAACTTGTTAATCAGCAAACAGATGCAAAAATGATTAACCACATATAAGGTGTTGCCCTTTAGCATTCTGTGTTTACCATCTTTAATAAAGCCTTTTCCGTTCAAAAGTCTATACTAAATAAAGTTTAGGTTCGAGGAATTAATTTTCTCCTAATGTTCCATTTATCCCTCTCATATGCAAACCTTGAATCACAACTCTTTAATCAAAGCAAATTGCAGGATTTGGCTAATAATAGGGCCTCTTATGCCACACCAAAGAAAATAAATGCAATAAAATGTAAACACTTGCTCGAAATGTGGCTATGTTCAGCACATGCCCCTAAATGGTTTCAGATATGTGGATAATAAACAAACTTAATGTGATTGCTGGTGGTTACTTTATAAACACCATCCTATAAGAATAATATTATGATAACTGGCTAATTATTATACATGCAGTTTCACAAATTGCCAGCATACAGGCCTAACCTGAGGTTTCAACTGAGCAATATTTAAAGTGAAAATATACATCTTAAAACATTTCCCCTATCTTATGGCATGCATGCTAACCAGCTGGTAGTGGAAGTTTTTTAAAACCAAAAAAACCCCAATACAAAGTGTGTTTGAAAAGAACCGAAAGGGGGAGAAACTGCAGAGAAAGAATCTGAACACATGTTCAGATCCACAACAAACAGTTCTGGCCGCCAAACTGAACGTCCTGGTATTATTTATCATTTTAGTTAATGAAAACCTAAAGGAAGTTTCCTATCAAGGACCAAACAATCTGGTCTACCAGCTCCAAATCAGGAATTAAATGAACCCAGTGGGAAAGCTGCTTTATCTAGGTCCACCTGAAGGTTAAAGACAGAAGTTGGAGGGCACATTTCCATAGCCCTAGAGCAGTTTTAGCAAAGAGTTCATGTAATCACCCAGAAGTAGCTTTAGATCATTAACTCCCCACAAACTTCAAGAGGACAAAGCAGAGGGCACAAAGCAAGCGGTACTAAGAAAGTGCCTCTCATGTGTTTTGTTAACCAGTGAGGCACTTAAGAGCAACAAGGGTACCACCAGTTTCATTTGCTAAAAGAAAGAGGCATGCACCAAAAAAAGAGAGATTGCCAGGGGGGAAGTCACTTCAAAGTCAATCTCACTAGGTGAACTAGGTGTTGGATTCTTTACATACGCAATGGTAAACACTCTGGTCAAAAATCTTCATTGCATAGGGAAAGAAAATGTGACTTCTGAGTCACGAAGTCTCAAATCCCAGAGTATGAAACTAACCTTGACCCCACTAACCTCACCTCATCACCTGAGCCTCCAATTGGGTCACCGGGAAGAAAACAAAATAAACAAAATAAAAACCAATTGACAAACACTTGTTTCCAAAGCAAATTCCTTATAGTGTCCTCGGTTAAAATAAATGGCACTGAGATCTGGCAGAAAGCAAAGAAGCAGACGCTTGGTTGCAAGGGCCAGTGCTCGTTGATTCGGGCCCCTTTCTGAAACTCAAGGCAGACGAAAAATAAAAGGTTATGGGAAGATGATGAGCCTTGCTTCCAAGCCCTTGTTTCCCTCTACACGCAAACCCTCTGACTCCTTTCTCTTCCCACAAATTTATTAAGCGATCCAACGGTTCAGATGTCCATACAAAGTTCAGAAGGTAAATTAATCAAGAGAGCTCCGGGAAATGTGGCGAGGAGAGAGGGGGGGGAGGCACGTGGAGAGGAAGAAGGAAAAGCTTCCCAGCTCCACACCTAATTCCTTTATATATAATTCGTTTTCGTGTTGACTTCCTTTCAACTCCAACTGTCACCAATGAATTAATTCAGCTATTGAAGTGTAAAGTTCAAGTCCAGGGTTTTAAGTTTGTTTCTCTTTTTTCCCTCCTTTCAGCCGTTGTGTTTGAACATTTTGGTGCACTTTCGGTAGAGACGTAAAACTTAGTGCGCTTAACATCGCTCGCTTCCCCTTGCTTGCCTCCTTCCTTACCCGATCTGATGTCAACTGTGTGATTTGCCTTTTTTTTCGTGGAATATTCTAAGCTTAACTCCTGCTGGTTATTTTTAAAAGGGAAAAAAAGATATAGAACTCCTCAATCTGTCTGGAAGATTAAGTAAAGCAGAGGTATGGTTGCGACATGACTCCTCCTCAAATATCCTTAAAAGCAACACTTAAAGCCTCTTGAAAATGCAACAAACGCTCGGAGAGCCACGTACCATTTATTCTCGTTTCATATTTAATTTATTTACTTCTGAAATAACTGCAGCAACAGTGATACAACAAACCTGCAATTGCAGATGCCTGCTCTTTCCCTCTCCGCACCCCGCGACTACTACAGCAACATGGCTAAGGTAACCTTTACCTGAGGCCAAATCTTGCTTGGCAAGTATCTCGATCTGGGTCAGCATCATCTTACCTGGGACAGCCAGACAGGCATCCCCACCACCCATCCCGGACACGCATCTCGCACTGCCCCCCGCCCCGTCCCTCTGCCCCGGAGAGAGAAGGGAGCCGCTGAGCGCGCGGGGAAGGTGGGGAGGAAGATCGCAGCTTAAGGTTTGTTTCTGTTTTCTTTGCAAGTGGAATCTGCAAAGGGGGCTGGAGAAGGAACCCAGGAAAGAGCGAGAGCGAGAGCGCGCCACCGAGGGAGGGAAGGAGCGAGGGAGGGAGAGAGAGAGAGAGAGAGAGGCGAGGGGAAAGTGCCCGGGCCACATGGAAACACACTTTTTGTTGTTGTTGTTATGACTAGCTGGCTTGAGCGATCGTCTGGCAACGGCTCCTCTTACCTTGGCCCAGCTCAGATCACTAGGTCCGCTGCTTCCCAAAACCCCTTCCTTTCAGTGGGAGAGGGGAAGGAAGAAAAAAAAAGGAGGGCGGCGTATTGCAAAATAATAATGAAATAATAACAGCAGAGGCAATCAATCCTTCAGGCAGCTGCCAGCAACATCTCAAGAGGAGATCCGCCCCCCCTGACTTCGCTTGCACGCGCGCACCCCCCCCCCCACACGCCCTTTCGCCGCCGCCGCTCTCCAAAGAAGAGTGTCGCCTCTGCAACCCGGTGGAGTCCCGCAGGCGCAGCTTCCTGACTTGCCTCCTGCAACGTCCGATTTCCTTCTCCGGCATTTGGGGGGGGGGGTAGGAGAAAACTTTCCCCCCTCTCTCCTCGCCTGGAAACTTCTCCGGGTCCTTGAGGGGGCGCGGCGGTGGCGGCGGGGGTCGTTATTGCGGGGTAGGGTGTGTGTATGTGTGCGCGATATTCAATGAGAAAGTGGTGAAGAAGGGAGCTGGTGGCGGGGCTTGGAAGCGGCGGGGATGCGGCGGCGGCGGGGCGGGGGGGCCAGGAGACGCGCGCCGATTGCTTTAATTGTCCCCATTGATTCGGAGCCCGGCGTGTTAATTTCTTCCCATCGCCTCGCTTGCCCTCCGGATGCTCGGGGGTTGCAGGGCGTGTGTGAGTGTGTGTGTTGCGTCAAGAAAGTTATTGGGGGGGGGAGGCGGAGGGAAGAGAGGGAGGGAGAGAAAGAGCGAGAAAATAACTTCCTTTTCACTTCTCTGCCGCTTGATCACAAGGGAGGAGAGAAAAGGGTTTGAGCGAGTGAGTGTGTGTAAGAGGGGGGGGGGGCAAGAAGGGGGGAAGAGCGAGGTTTCCTCTCCCTACACTGCACACCTCTTCAGACCTAAGAGCTTCTTTTCCAATCGCAGACTCTCTTTGGAAAGGATCCCCCGCGCGCTTAAAAAATAATATATATATATATTTAAAAACTACCTCCCCAGATCCCTTCTTGCAACCCTCAGCCGACAGGCGGTTCTCTTTCATGCGCTGTCTCTTTAATGAGAGAAGGCGCTCTCTCCGGCCAGTGAGGGATGGGGGGGGAGAGAGAGGAGAGGAGAGGAGAGGTATCTCCCCCCCCCTCCCCACCTCTTCGCCGATCGGAAGCCAGACAGAGGCTCCTCTTTCAGTAAATTTTTAAAGTGACAGCAGCCTCCTCTGGCGAGAGAGGTCACAAGAAGGTCGCCCAGACAGAAGTCCTAGCCAGGCAGACTGATTACGGATGCGCCCGTCCCCTTTAAACATGTCAGTTTCATCCATGTAATCACCGGCCAATGGGGAGATCTTGGACGGAAGGAGCCCCCCCCCCCTTTGACTCCTCTCCACCCTCCTTTTTCTTTCGCAGGGAAGGGGGGAAGGGGGAAAAGAAACCCCATCGCCACCTCATTTTTTTGTTTTTTGTTTCTGGTGTATTCAGAGAAAGTGCAACTCCCTTAACGCGGCGCTTTCTCTGGGAATGTTTATTTAGGGAGAGTTTTACACAAATCAGCAGCTCGCTCTCTTTTTTGCAAATTAGTATCGGTAGCAATAACGAAAGGAGTTGAAGTTCAGTATTTTAATAAGTGGGCTTGTTTGTTTACTTAGAAAAGCGAAAACTGGTTGGTCCAATGACTCTAAGGGTGTGATTGATCTATAAAGAGAGATATAAATTCATCCCCACCTCCCCTAAGCAGAAGAGAGGTTAATAAAATTTTACATTTGCAACCTTTACGCAGTCCTCAAGAAACGGCTTTCCCCCGTCTCACAACCGTTTTCTGTGCTTCGCAAGACACTTTACTAGGGAGAAATTAGTAGTGTGGCTGGAGTTATTAGCCTTCTAATTTTGAGACTTCGTTAGTAGATTTCTGGTACAGGCTTCTAAACAGCTCTGAAGCTAAAAGCTTTATCCCATGAAAACCTAGAAAACAAATTTGTATTTTGGTTCCTCTTGAGACTTTCCTACATATCACATCACGACCATGGTAATTGTAAATATACGTTTTGGGGGATTGGGGAATTTAGCACGTAAACAGCATCAAGTACTGCGTCCATTGTTTTTAAACAAAATTGGCGAATGAAAGGGCGAGCTAGTTAGCTGCAGGATTAATAATTTTCTCTCTCCCTCTGATATTGTCTTGGCTTCTGTATTTGAAACATATTGGGACAGCAAAGCGGTTTAAGCAGAGCAAAGTCGCGGACCCAAGTCAGCAGATTCTCAGCGAGTTCAACTTCAGCTCCGGGTTTGATGCAGATTCAGAAGCATTGCGATGAGCAGAAGCCGCGATGCGCGTCTGCCACATACACACGTACATAAACGCGCAAGACGGAGCCTGATTAATGAAGGGGGGAGCAGGCGCGGCTCACGGGGGTGTGTGGCGCTTGGATACACAGCTAACGTCTCGTAAATGCGAACATGTACAAACATCGGGGAGGAAACCCCGCACTTCGCCTCCCGGTGCCACTCAACTTTTCTTTTTTTTAAAGTGCAAATCTAATTCTCACTTTATAGATTAGGAGAAGGGAGGGCGGGGCCATCGAGGGCCGGAGGAGAAAGTGACAAAAGATGATGATTAATTCGTCTCCGAGGCCTGTTATCTGTGACATTGAACTGTTATTTCAGATAATGGCTATTGTTCCAGGAGGGGCGGGTGGGGGGAGAGGAAGAAAACCCTCCCGCCCAGCAGTTGGGCAAAACCAAACGCTTTGTAAATAACATCTTCTCA